GTGTTCAGTGTATGCAAACACTTTTATTCGGGGTTGCCAATCCTTTTGCGGATCGATAGGACCATGTTCAGAGCTTGCCTGAAGTGGTGGTGTGTAAAGTTAATTTAGAATACGCAAGGTGTTTCGTTTGTGGAATGCAATAATTTTACAACGTTTTATTATATCAATTCAATTGTTAATTCAAGGTAAATTTAAAACTACTTAGCGAGTACTAGTGTGCCATTGGCGCGAAAAATGTTTCAAAATAAACGAGGCGGCCTCTTCAGCGGTTCGAAAGCGAATGCATTGATACTCCTGCAAACCCGCCTTAGACCACCCCGTACCGCCGTATATAATAAGCAAAAATGATTAGGTTACAATAGATTAAGTTACAATGAGTAGGTTCAAATTTCGAAAGTTACAGTGGGTGTACATTTCAAAATTTTCATATTCATGGTTTAAGAACCAGTGCATTAATAACAAAGTGATTAACGATCGGTGAGATCTGCGCTCATGTCTCCGACAGTGTGTTTGCCGGAAATATTAGTGGTGTTCATTTAAACAGATAAATTTGCCTTTTGAATATACGTATATTTTTATCCACTGCTTTATATAAACGAGCAAAAAAGAATCTTTGTTGCCCCTTATCAAGAAACTTGGGACCGGGTTTGTTATTTGTATAATGGTTTTCGGTTGTTGTGTCCAAACGCATAACCCGAATCCAAAAACTTTAACATACACGTGTAGTCAAAGGATTAAACTTTTATTTAAAACAAATGCTTCAAATTTCCGACCACTGGTTATTAATACATTCGGTTTGCACTATGCACTTTTTTGCAAATTTTGATGTGGGTTCTGCGCAAAAAGTACTGTCGATGCCGCAGCCGGAGTGATATGCACAAAAAATTTTGTATACCTTTGACATGCGGACGCCCCTCTTCTCCGGCCAGGTATAATCCCTAAGCGCGGTCGAAGGCAGAAGCAAGCCCAAAAGGTGGTGGACCTAAAAAAGTGCATGGTTTCAATGGCTTGTAAGAAGCTGTTATTGCATTAATTGGATTGCGAACCAGTCCTTCAGGCATAGGACTTTTGGCTTGTGGTTCAAAAGTTCAACCAGAAGCTGACATAGATGCGCCCATGGTTACTATATCCGACAGCTCCACATATATTTGTGAAACATTCCCATAGGGCGGTCTTACTCCGCTGCTATAATTGCAAATGCAATAGAATCCATCGTTTCTTTCAAAATACATATGTAAAATCAAACAATTTTACTATAAATAAGCACCTCATCACTGTTTTTTCTTTAATTCCTTTCCACTTTACTTTCCTTTACTCAGCTATCTTCGAAAAACAACTGATAGCTGGCAATGCTGCACATGTTTTCGCAAGAATTGCAGCATGTGGCTTTTTCGTTTACGAAAATTCGTGTTCTAGAATAAGGGGTTTAATATTGGTTTTTCCAGAACCAATTATGGTGGCAATGCTCCTATATTTTGTACTTGTGCAGAAATAACTACGGTCTTCAATGCTTTAGATGTTGGTTTTCTTGCAACCTAGTGCCACTTCAATCAACTATCTAAAGAGCGAAATACACCACACAAGCGGCTTGTCAAACATTCTT